CAAACCTCTGTACGTTGTGGTTTTTGAAAAGATGCCGCACTTGCCCCATTCGTTCAATTTACGGCCCTCAATTTATGCTGATCTCGGCAGCTCATTTCTCATTATTGTTCAGTGACAATATCGGCGAGAAGAGGACATGGTGTTCTCAATAACGAGGAGGCGCGTGAAATAGTATCTATCCGGGTGCTTGTTTTCTCTCCGTCTTGAACGAACACAAAGGGTCATTGTTCGTTCAAACCTTAGCGTTCAAAAGAAGCAGCGCTTCCGGTCTTTTACTGGTCTCTTCGGCTGATTCGATACCTTGCTCCAAACGCTTTCAAAGCACTGTCTTCCAAAAAAAAGTTCCTTTGAAGTGGTTGCCCCTTCACCTTTCAATAGCGCTGTCTTTCTCATTATATTCCACCAGGCACAAAGAGCTTTTTTTTTCAGGAATGATCTGCAACAAGAACAATGCGTCCATGTTTTTTTTTACTCCCTATTTTTACCCGGTTAACGTTGCAAAATTTTCTTTCGTTAAGGCCATACGCCTTTTCGAAGGAATTCACACAGGTTGTGCTTGCTTCCGCAAGTAATAACAACGGTGACAGTTTTGGTGTGATCTAAGCCGTATTACAAAAAAAGAGCCTTTGCGTGAAGAGTACCCATTGTAAAGAAGCAATTATTCTATAGGCTTTGTAAAGTGCGTGCTGATATTCAATCATCAGACTTTAACCTTGTCACTCGTTCGAATGACTCTTTCGGTTAAAATGCTTGGTTTTTTTTTTTTCATGAAATTGTGACAGCGTAAATGAATTTTATCAGTTCTAACTTTTCTATTAAAGCACCCTAATAACAACACATCTAAGATACCAGCACAAGATAACTATGCCATTCAAATTCATGCTTCCAAAACGACTTGTCTAGGTTGAGGTCAGAGAGGGGATTCCGACCTTATCGTGGTGAGAACAAATGTAACGTGAAAATGAAGAGCGATGGAGGTGGGCGAAGAGTAACTAAGTCATCATCTTTTCTCTGCGTCTTTCAGAAAATCCACAACAATATGCATAGCCCGACAAGTACCATGTGCCTGCGCTTATCCTTCTACGAAGAATTTTTTTTTTCACACAAGCAAGCATTCTTTGTGGATGTAGATGATTCTTTGCACCCCCCAATAATGACGTCATTTACACCTTTGCTGGTTGTCGATCAATGCAAAACCGGCACACACGTCAAGCGCTTCATTTGTGAATCGTCTCTCTGGTCGGTGTTTCACTCAGTTACGAACACGAGTAACTCGTCAGCCCGACTAACAACACTCGAGTCGTTCGATGAATTAGTGACTGTTATTCTTCGACCTAAACTACAATTACTAAAATACACTGAATATTCATCGCATGTCTGCGTAGCCGAACACAATGCGTATTTTCTAGTAGAAGGTACTTAAATTTTTCGTATAGTGGTGTGAAGATATGTAGACAATTTACAGCAAGAATTGCATAAATGATGCATGTAACAGCTGGAAGTAGACACGCATGTAACAGCTGGAAGTAACAGACAAGTTAGAAGTGCGTCGGCATTTATACTCTTGCCATCGAATGTGCTAGCGTTATCGCTGGCGTTGACGTAGGTTCGAGAATAATCTGTACAGTTCGCGGAGTGGGCGTGATCTTATCGAAATAATCCTACTACAGTCCTGAAGCTTCTCGAAAAACTGCAGGCATGGTTAGCGCTGAGAATTGTGTAATGTATTGGGGCGATAACAAAACTTGAGAAATGGAACGTGGCAATAGCCTTTCTCAAAACTCGTTTTTAGTTTTATTTTTTTTTTTGAATCGGGAAAAGTTTTCGACAATAACGATGATCAGCCACCGCTATTGCTGCTGACCGAAAAAAAAAAAACCCGAGCTCAATCACGGCCATAGTGGTCACATTTTGATGATGGCAAAGTGCTAAAATCCCGTAAACTGTTCGACTTTTGTGCACAATAAAAAACCCCAGGAAGTCAACATTATCTGGAGTCCACCGTTACGACGTGCCTAAGTTGATCTGTAACGTCAAATCACACAAGCTAACTAAAAATGCCAAATGGAAAAACAAATGCTCAGCCTACTTGGTTTTCTCCTGTCCTTTCTTTTCTCATCAAGGTCCCGAGCCTCCATCCCTCACTCTGCTAGGCATCGGTTTCGCGTGAATAAAACAACGCAGAAACTTCCCACCATTGCGAAAACACTGAAGCCTTCGTAATCTGCTGATACGGTGCAGACACTCTCTCGAGCATAATATTGCCTATATAAGGGCACTCTTACGCTATCTCGTGGCCTACAAGTGTTGCTGTCGATACCACACTGCATTTGCGCGTCTTGTAGATTGGCAGGAAGGGGACGAGTCCTTTAGCAGCCCGCGCAGCCAATTGTCGTAAGTTTGCAGTGCATTTTGATATTTATTGCTATCGTGTCTTGTGCAAGCTCATCCACTTTGAACACTAAAAAGCAGAATTAGGAGCCAGGAAAGTGATAACTTCCGTCGAGAGGAGCACTACAACTGCATATTTGTCTGAGGTAGCTAATGATGGAAGGAGAGATTTTCGAACCACTGTCATACAGCAGCGTTCTCAAGCAATGGCCTTGTTTAGGATGCTTCGGTTCATATCACTGGATTAGCAGTGTCCTGCCACCGCACCATGAAGCCTTTTTTTTTATGTAAGGCTACTTTGTACTGGTGGTGTAAGCCTCATGGAAGTGCGGAATGAGGCTTCCTGCTCTGTTTTTTTTTTATATTAACCTTCTTTTGTCACTCTCTCTCTCTTTCTTTTTTTCCTTTCTGTTTTATCTCTTCTTTCAGTCTGCTCATTCCTATTGCTTTCGCTTTCTCTCTGTTCTTGTCTTTGTTACTTTTTGTCAACTTTTTCCCTCTCAGTAACTATTCCTTTTTATTTCTCTCTTTTGCCTTGGTTATCTGTCCTTCTGTCTTTTCTTCTTTGTGTATCTCGCTCTCGCTCTCTTATATTTGTTTCTTTATATATATATATATATATATATATATATATATATATATATATATATATATATATATATATATATATATAATTTCCCGCTGGGTCTCTTTCACGGTCTCTCTATTGCTTTCCGTCTTTATTCTCTTTCTTTCTCATGGTAACTTTCTGCTCCCTCTGCACACACCAGCGGTCGGCTTTAACAGCTCCGCTGCTTAGGGGGCCCTTCAACACTTTTCAAGGCAATGATCTAACGCACTGGTTTTAAGTCATGCATACTAGAACGTGTTGTTGGGCTAGTTGGTTCATGCTGAAGAAAAGTTAACGACGCAATCAACCTAGACAAAAAAAAGGACTAGTAATGTACATTTCTTGCATAGTGGGCCCAGCTTTTCTCTCTTTGTTTTATGTAGCCTGCTTTAGTGATTGCAACGATTGCTTTTACGACATGCTACACGCGATACTTGACGTATTGCTTGAACACGAAACAGGTGACAGCTCTATAATGTTCCCTTTTCTTTCATCCACGGGGGTTGCATCCTTGACCTTTCTTCAGTCATGCTTGTTTCGGGGACCTCTTGTTGACGGGTGGAAGTGATTAGGGGATTCCTTGCAGTGAGAGAGAAAAAGGGAATGGTCGTGTCGTAAGTTCACTGAACATGCCGCGCGAAATTGGTGCCCTTTGTTTCTCCCCGACGACGAATGGCTCCGCTAAAGCGTCAGGCCAATTTGCTTTCAACAGCTTGTCTATAAGTTGTTCGTTCTGCAGCCATGAAGAACACGTGCACGCTGTCTCACTGGAAGGGCCACTCGATACGTCGCTAGAGTACATGGCAAACAGTACTGAGATAAGCACGCTTGTCACGTATGATTCGATTCTCTTTCTTTCGAGAGCTTCGGGGCACGATGCACCTTACTTTCACCGCTAGTACAGTCTGTATCGACCGTGCAGTCGCGGAGCAAAGTGAAGACACCTGCCGAACAACAAACTGGTGTTTTCTTTAGTGTACTAACTTATCGTCACGTGCTCGGAAAGAAGCCAAACATCCGTAATGGGCATTGTAGAAAAATGTCGCGAGCCTTCAGGGGTGACCGACTACGCGGGTGTCAACTTCCAAAAAGGTGAGAAAAATGGCCGCTCTAGACTACTGAGGATACTGCGGTGATTGTGTGCCTAACAAACGCCGCAACGTGAACCGAAAAGCTCTGCGTTCTGTCTAGTCCCCCACCTACGAAGGCTACTTACCCCTGAGTTCCTCGTTCACAGTTCTCAGTCAATCGTAATGCTAGCCGCATTTCTAGTGGTCCATAAAAGTCAGTAGAGCTCGATTGGTTTAGTCGCATCGAGAAACAACCTCTCGGAAGGAGGTATATATTGTCTAGGGTCATTCACTTGAGTCCAATGAATTTATGTTCCTCAATCAGCGAAACTCGCTGCTTAGTGAATTAGGAACAGTGCGCTATGAGATGCTCAAGTATTTCGCAAGAGCAACAGGCTGCCCGCAACGGACTGTCATTACGCCCTTGGTAATGTAATCGTTCACGCACTAGCACAGAGCCCACTCTCAGTTTATGTAACAGCGTTCTGAAACGACGAGGCAATCCACGGCCACAAACACTGGGAGTGACCATGCCTAAGTTTGCAGAACCGATAAGGGGCGGAAAGTAATTGAGTAATAGCAAGTAAATTGCACTCGACTGGGAAAATTAGTACGATTTAAAAAATAACTCGCGAGAGTATGAGGCCGCTGCTCTGCTTAGCGTTAGCTGTGTGTTCTGTGAATATTCATTTCGTTCGGATTTCTTCGCAACTGAATGCCGAACCCACGTCACTGCACAGTGCCCATCAAGCCGGCAGATGACTTCAAACAACCGGAAGCCGTCGATGCGCCCTCAGTCACAAAGATCCCAGCAGTTCCAGCAAGACGGCCGCTGTACTTGGCCGTGCTTGCTGCCTACTTGGGCACCATGGCACTCGGTTTCTCCGTCACCTATTCGTCGCCGGCGCTTCCCCGACTTGCGGTCCAAGATGAACTTCACCGCCGATGACAGCGCCTGGTTCGGATCGCTCGTCAAATTTGGTTCCATTTTCGGTGGGCTACTTGGAGGTAATGACCGCAGGGTGACGGAAGTCGAGTAACGGCTAGATACTATATTTTCTTTCATCTGGTGAAATACTTTTCTCACCCAAAAAAGCTCCTAGTCTTTTCTCGTGTTGCGCACTCATTTCTGCAGCCCGAAATTCTGATAAAAGTGGAAGAGGTGGTCATTTAGCCTACAAAGATGCTTACAAATAGAACGTTCCTCTCAAGGCATCTAACGTTCACGAAGGTTGAGTAATCGCTTTGTGAGAATCTGCCTTTTATCAGAATGTAAGCGATGGCATGGTGGACTGCCCTGTACTTTTCAATTTACATGAGCGGTAATCAACACTGGAAGGTCGAAGTTAACCCCAGTCATTATTACGGCACGTCTATTGTAGTTTCAGCACGTGAAACCCCACTATTACACTTTATTCTGTCAAGAAAAACTGTGTAGACACACTTACCAGTTGTCTACTTGTCTTCCCTTTGTATCCCTCATAACAACGTTGGCGATTATGCTGTATCTCACGCAAATTCATGAATGTGGCAGTGTTCGTTTTCTCTTATTCAATGAAAAAAATGTCATGCATACTTCATAATATATTAATTTGTAAAGCGGACTTCGTAAAACACGCGAAAGAGCACGGCCAACTGAACCGACAAGTTATTACCTTAAATATTGGCTCAGAAGCGTTGACTGTTGGGCCAGGTGGAGCACCATGCATATAGTGTCATCGAGTAGGAAGCGGGGCAGTAAGATATTATGTGAACAGAATGCACGCTTATCCATATCTTTATTTTTTTTTTTGCGAGTCCGGTATGTTGTTCTCGATGACGCAATCCCTTTTCTTTCTTTTATTGCCATTTCTGTTGTTCATTTATTCCAACGAATCTTACTCGAAATAATTACATTACAGAGACTCACTTTTGAAAAACCATGAAATTCGCAGCTTCAGCGTCAGCCGAGTGGTCTTCATGAGTAATGAAGCAGTCTGAGACGCCTCATCGTTTTATCAGCCCATGCCATTCGTAAGGAAATAAGTCTACTATAGAGACAAGGCACAGTTGTAACCTGGCAGTGCTGTTGGCAGTGAGTGATCCGCAGCCCCCATTTATAGCTTAAGCTATAGCAACGTCCTCCTCCCAAATACTCGCAAGCACCACTGCATGCCTTCTCGGGCAATGAAGCCACTACACGTGGCCACGTGTTACACGTGGCCGCTGTAAAAATTGCTATGAACCATCGAAAGGGGGTTAGTGTCGCTGCAGCAAGCGCCAACTTGTCTTCTTCAGGGCGGCTGCCCTGGCGAAGGCAAGTCAACTTCTCAAATATTTTTCCCCGACAACACCTCCGTTAAACGATTGCTCGTCAATTTAAGCCTTATTGTTGGGCTTTGTACTTACGAGGAATAAAACTGCTAATTATTATAGCAATTTGCGCGGTTCAACATGCCGAAACCAGATAGATTCTGAGACACGCCATTGTGGAGCGCTCCATAAATTTAGGTCATTCTGTGTTTTCTAATGTGCGCTGACGTCCCACAGTACGTGAATTCCCAGCTTTTCACCATCAGCAGCAGCAGCGGAACCAGCACTGCAGCAGCCTCACTTCACCCACTGCAATGCAAAAGCCTTGCCTATTTTCCGCCACTACACCCTGTTCTGTGCTTGCTGATGCAACGTTATACCACCTCAAGCTTTTCGTCATCATCTAAATCTGACCGACGCCGCCAGGTTAAACCCCCGAAACGGAGTTGTGTGATGGAGTGACTCGGCAAAATACACTAAGTGTTTGACTAATTCTGTTACACCCTTCGCGACGTCCACGGCAACGCAGATTTTTATCACATGTGGGGAGATAGCATCTGTACATAAAAAATCAAGTGCTTAGAAAGTGAATTACTTTGCAGATAATGGAAATAACACCGTGTAGATTGCCTTGCAGTGTGCTTGTACACTTAAATGTAGAAACATGCGGATATAGCGTACTTATTTGCTTTATAGTTGTTATTCGCTTTTGTGTTCTGTCCTGTGCAATGGTGCATTTATAAATGGTAGTGGCTGAGCTGGTCACCATTATCAGTGGCCAGTTGTGTAACGTCACAAAGTTTTTGTTTTTAAGTGGATCGTGCAATTTCGTTAAGCTGGGTCCCGACTTTCCGAGTTCCTAAATTACAGAGAAGTATTCCTCGCTTAAGTGAAAATTCGTGTAGGACGAAGTGGTATTGCTTGTTGTATTGCCTTAAATCGTGTGCGTTACTTGAGATAATTTATTCTGGCAAACTAGTTCATCTGTGGCCTGCCAAACATTAAATATGTGCTGTACGCTACTTACACAATAATTTCGCAGCACATCAGCGACATTGCATTATGTTACTGCTGTGAAAAAAAAAACGTTAGAAAGTTGTTATTGGTTTCTTTCGAAAAAAGCCTAGCATCATCGCGTTAAAAAGTTTTAAAAAGATATCCCAATAACTCAGTGTCACAGCATTCGAAAAGTAAAACAAGAGCATGAGAGATTGTGCGTGCGCACAGTTCTTGTTTTTGTCAAGTTTTGGTGGTTTACAAAATGCTTAGCTGATTATTTAAAGCTTATGGTGGGTCACACAAGCAGATACATCTCGATAATGTTATCAAGGGAATCATACAGCACCACAACAATGGCGTGGGTTACCACATCTTCAGGTCTAGCGGTCCTGGAACTCATTATTACCGTTTAATATGAGAAACATCCTATTCCACAACAGTGAATCCCGATAACTACGTCCCGCACGCACCACTATGCGATGTTGCTGTAGTAGTAGTAGTAGTAGTAGTAGTAGTAGTAGTAGTAGTAGTAGTAGTAGTAGTAGTAGTAGTAGTAGTAGTAGTAGTAGGAGTAGGAGTAGTAGTAGTAGTAGTAGTAGTGTAAACGACACTACCTCGCCCCAGAACCGGTTGCTCTTCAGAAACCAGCCCGACACAATAATATATCGTATTGACAATCCAAGTGATTCGGAGGGCAACACATGATGCGCCCTGACACGAAGCAAACCTTTCCGTTCAACCAGACTCTGGTACGCATCGACCAAAGCGAACACAATGTAATCGTTGACAGTCTGCCAGGCTGCTCCAGATGAACATTCTGCTTCTATCGTAAGGTCGCGTACTTGGCACGTAGAAATCGTCAGTCAAGGACAGGCAATGCCTGCACTCCTCTTTGAAGTACTTAGGTGCGGCAGGAGTACCAGGCCAAAGCTACTGCGGCATTCTGCACGAACACAAAAGAATGCACCTATAGGGAGGAGAGGTGCTAGCGCGCACCACTTCAAGTGACCACCTTACTTTTCTAGTACATCAAGCAGTTACAGCAAACAGTGACACTGAGTTCGACAAAGTTGAGCAGTGCAAGGATTAGGTAGGTCTATTTACAGTGACAACAGCAAACACGCAGTAGACGCCCTTTCCGAGAAATCCTATTGGCTATGTACACACTGTCGTCTTCGCCAATTACATAATTACTATCTGCGGTTCCTAAAACGCACGCACGAAGGCCAGAACTATCAGGTTCAGCGTGCTGCGAGGTATACCCGGAACAAATGCTCAGTAGTTAGTGTTGACTGCAGAAAAACTGTGCTGTTACGTTCCCAGCCGCTGCGTTTCTCTGGCTCTTACGTAGTCTTCAGCTGGCCCCGGCATAGATTTTATGGGATGCGATGCATTGAGAACACTGTTACGTCGCAACTGAGGGACCATTCCCGCATTGTACGTTGCTAACCGGCCTTCCGAGATGACACAAGCGGCTATGTTGTGTTTTCACGGGGCTTTGATTGGTCCACTTGATGGCTCAACAATCGAATTGGCCGCCACAAGGGGTGAGGGTGACATCTATGATGAACTTGTATGACGCGCCACCAGGAACATGACCTCCGAGGTGTGCAATTTTTATTTAAACATGGCGTGCACGATGTGTTGGAGTGCTAAAGGTTGGTTTCGGTGCATTGAACAAAAGTAGGGACTCCGATATTACTTTTCGTTGCCCACCGTGATCTTGTTTAAGTATAGACTGGGAGCAAAGGTCGACTCATCGCAATCGCTGGCAGCATCACGAATAGTGATTACGCTTCCGTTGACCACGCCATTGTCGCTTCCGCTATGTTGTTCGTTGACGATATCGTGGCCGTATACGCGGATGTGTGCGACAGTGATGGCGGAAGTAGAAGGGTAAAGCAGTTGCCAGAGCCAACGGCTTCATCGACCGTAACAGCACTCGACTCGTTGTGGAGATGTGTGCACAATAACAATACTGAATGTCACTAGCACTGCAGGTGCGTCACGTTCACCTTGTACATTGAGCGTGAAAAAATGCACCAGGTGACGCTGCGCAATTTCTTCGAATGAAACATTTGAAATAAAATTGCTACTTCTGTATAAACTATTCAACTTTCTAATTTATCTAAGTAAGAAGAGGTGAGAGCCGTTTCTCGGCTCTTACCTGTGAAGGAAAAAAAATGAAGACGATAGGAGACAACTACGGCGTCTCGGCTTTTGTAGTTCTGCCACAGTGTGTTTCAAAGAGACATCTCGTCTACTTGTGAGCAAGCCATGTACTTTGCAATTCAGTTTTGGAGGCCACCTGTGTCGACCACTGATACTGACAGTTCCCAGTGGTGCATGACCAATAAGCAGCAATTACAGTGTGCATGTAAACTACCCAGACCTACGTCAATTTAACCGCTCGCACAAATGGTTCACCACCGCGTTCTTTTAAAGCATGTCGAAGATAAAAATTTTGAATTTGCTTTGTTCGGACCTCAAAAAGTTGGTGAATGTGCTCAGTGTGAGCAAAGATTACTCTTAGAAAAACAGGTAGCATCCGAAACCAAGATAGATGCTATGAGAAAAAAATATCTGATTGAAATATTAAAACTGAAAAGTTGACGGACTATTTTAAAGTTATTGAAGAAATGAGTGAGCGAATTTGCAGGCTAGAAACTATAGTTAGGCAACAAGAACAGAAGTTAATTGATTACGAAAACTGGAGTATATAGACGTAATAATCTACTCGTTTTCGGCCTACCAAAAGACTCCGGTGAAACCAAGTCAGGCCTAACGGAAACTATTGTTCATAAACTTTTTGACGCAAAATTGGGTATTAAAGTAAAATCAGTTGACCGAATTCACCGGCTTGGCAAGCAAAAACCAAATAGCTCAAGAACGGTCATCATTAATTTTTACGATGACCGCGAAAAAGAAAGTGTGCTAAAAAACTGCAAAAAAATTGAAGGGGACTACTATTAGTGACAGCAATGATTAAGCATAGGAAACTGTCTACGCTAGGAAAAAGTTATGGCAAAGCTGCGAAACCAAAAGGGCAAAGGGAGCAAAAGTGAAGTTGATTTATGACAAGCTTAAAGTGAAGGGCGAGGTTTATCAGTGGGATCCGACACGAAATATTCGTAGTCAATGCAAGCAAGAAAACGATAACAAGGAACGTAACCACGGCTCTGAACATTCTGCTCATAGCAGTTCGAATGTGCCAAAACTGACCGATGGTAGTGGCATAAAATCATCTGAGAAGGCGCGTTCATAGCTAAAAATTCTTTCACTGAATGCGCGAAGCATTGTAAATAAAGTAACAGATTTAGAAATCTTGTTGATTACACACAGCCCCCATGTTGTTGTCTTAATGGAGACATGGTTGAATAAGGATATAACAGATAACTGCATCCTACCACCAGGATACAAGAATTTCCGGTGGGACAGGGACACCCGAGGTGGTGGTGTGGCAGTGACAATTAAAAACAACGTAGCGGCAACAACAGTACATTGCCAGTTGCCAGAAACGGTGTGGTGCAAGGTCAATTACGCTAATTATACGGATCTCATTGGAGCCGTCTACAGACCACCCGGAAGTCCACCCGAGTTCTTAGGAGAATTAAATATGTTTTTGTGCGATCATGTAAATGAAAACACAAGGCTGATAATGGCTAGTGACTTTAATTTAGCGCATATAAATTGGGTAAGCTAACTGGTCATGCGGAAACCCGTAGTGCTGATAGGTTATTAGAGCTGATGTTTTCTCATAATCTCACACAAATCGTAAAAGATTACACACGAGTTACCCCTACGTCACAGTCATTGTTAGACTTGGTTTTCATATCGAGTAGAGTGACTGATTATGCCGTATCCGTTGAAGACGGCATATCAGACCACAGAATGGTTGCGGTTGACGTGTTTTTTTTTTTTTTTGATACCGGCTTTTGAGCAAAGCGTCTTGTGTATGCATATATTAAAGATTACGATCGTGCTGATGATACAGCAATCCTGGACTTTTTAGAAATGTCGCTTGGCGAATTTCAGGAGGCATCAAAACTTGAGTCCGTTGAACAGATCTGGAAACGTTTTAAGGAAATTGTAGATTACTGTTCAGACAGCTTTATACCCACTCGCGTTAAAAAGACAAAACGAAGAAATCCATGGATAAGTAGGAAAATAATTCACATGAAGCGTAAACTAAAAAGACTGCGCAAAACTCATAGGGCCTCGACCGAAATATCATGTGCTAAAAAAAACTTGAAAGCAGAGATAGCGCAATCCAAGAAACATTTTTTTTCAATAGCACACTCACTAACTTTCTAATGAACTCACCACGTAAGTTTTGGCTGTTTTTTAAGGAAGCGAATGAGGGAATTGATCTTATTGTAGATGGAAAAGAAGTAATCACAGAAAAGTCAGATATAGCTGAAAGACTCAATTAATTTTTTCAATCGGTTTTCTGTAAGGATCAGGATGACAACGAGGAAATTGAATCGGGTGCTACCTTGACACTTCAGGAAGATGATATAAATATTAACCGAGAAGGTATATTCAATCAACTACTTCTTTTAAATACCAAAACGTCATGTGGACCTGACGGTAAATCGAATCAATTTTTGCGATGATTCGCGGAGTGGCTGTCGTGCTACCTAGTGATTATTTTCGAGAAATCTTTAAAATGACACTCGTTACCTCAAGATTGGCGTAGAGCAATTGTTGTCCCAATTTTTAAAGGTGGTGATAGAACAACATTGAACAATTATAGGCCTGTCTCACTCACGTCAGTATGTTGTAAAATGTTTGAACATATAGTGGCAAAAAATATTCGGCAATTTTTAGAACAAAAGGAATTATTATGCCCCTTTCAGCATGGATTTTGCGGTGGCCTTTCAACAGTCACACAACTGGTTGAAACTATACATGACTTTTGTATAGCTGTAGATGCCTGTATGCAAATCGATGTTATATGTATCGATTTTTCAAAAGCGTTCGACAGAGTTTCACATTATAAGCTGCTATTCAAGCTTCGCAATGTCGGTATTAGTGAGAATGTTCTCAGTTGGATCAGGGCTTATCTAAGCAATTGACAACACGCAGTTAGAGTGGGAGATGCTATGTCGGGAAATCGGGAGGTGTATTCGGGGGTGCCTCAAGGATTTGTATTGGGGCCCCTACTCTTCCTTTTATGCATAGATGATATTTCATCAGTTGTCCAACCACCAGTAAACATTGAGCTATTTGCAGATGACTGCCTAATCTATTGTCCGGTATCGTGCAGAGAAGATCAAGTGAATATCAATCAGGGCTTACAAACCCTAAACTTATGGTGTTCTAAATGGGGTATGGAAATTAACATTAAAAAATCCCCTTACACACACATTACAAAAAAGAAGGAAGTGCTTTCATTTGCATATAGCATTGATGATAATATGCTGGTGAAAGTCTGTAATTTTAAATACTTGGGTGTAACTATAACTGATAAATTGAGCTGGCGTCCTCATGTCGATAACATCTGTCAATCAGCATGTCAAAAATTGTGCTTCCTACGAAGGAAGTTAGGCCGAGCCACAAAAGATGTCAAGCTGCTTGCCTACAAAACTATGTCCGTGCGAGATTAGAATACGCTAGCGCTGTGTGGAGCCCACACCAAAAGGTCTTAAAAAATAAATTAGAACGCATTCTGAGAATGTCAGCTCGCTTTATCTGCTCCTAATATCGAAGAAGGAATTCTGTTACTGAAATGTGAAAAGTATGTAAATTAAAATCGCTAGAATTAAGAAGGCGAACACAGAGGTTTAAACGTCTTTTTCAGATCTTGCATGCCGGGGTGAAAATAAACAGGGATGATTATTTGAAGCATTCTTACAAAGGGTTTCCAAGAACAACATGCACTACATTCATACAACCAATACATGCTCGAATAGATATCTTCCAATTTTCCTTCTTTCCCGATGCTATTATTATGTGGAATGAATTACCGAACGATATGGTGCAAAAAGGAGCTTTGAGTGATATTGAGGTTGCTCTTGGTAGGCATTTTGTTGAGAATGTATAGTTATTGTGTTCATGTATGTGTTTCCTTAGAAATGTTTCATTGGCCATAGAGATCATGTTGTAAATATATTGAGTGAAAAAGCATGTAACTGTGTTTCTCATATAGTTATGCTATATGTTACAGAGTTCATTTTACGATTTTTCAAATATTTAATTTTGTGCAACTCACTTCTTCACCCTCCCTGTAACGACCCTCAAGTGAGGGTTAACAGTATGACAAATAAATAAATAAAATAAAAAAGATCACACTGAACCACCGAAAACTATAGCTGAGCTTGAAATAATGAGCGCATAGTTTACCGTCAAATTACGGGCCATAAAGCGTGATTTTATTTGTCTATTGCATTCGTTTTCATCTACCAGGGCCACTCGTGAACCTCGTCGGTCGTCGAACAACTCTCTTCGTCTCCTGTGGCTGGTTCCTGGCTGGCTGGTTGTGCATCATCTTCGCCAAGTCCATACCTGTGCTGTTCATCGGGCGTTCGGTGACAGGCGTTGCTGTCGGTATCGTGGCACCCGCGGTGCCTGTATTCATATCCGAGATCTGCCCGTCACACATCCGTGGCCTACTCAATACTGGAAGCAATGTTTTTCTCTTCTGTGGCATGCTGGCCACGTACGTCCTCGGCAAGTGGCTCACTTACCAGATTCTCGCCGTCGTTCTCATGGCACCGACAATACTGATGGTCATCCTTCTGTTCTACACCAAGGAGTCTCCACGCTGGCTACTGCAGAAGGGTCGACGCGAGGCAGCGCTGGAGTCATTACTATTCTACCAGGGACCGGAGGGCAAGAAGGAGCTTGCGGCTATTGAAGAAAGCTTTTGCGGAACCGAAAGCTTTCACTTACGGGATCTGGCTCTCCCGTACATCTACGGGCCATTCTTATGCTTGCTGTTAGTCATGTTCGTGCAGCAGTCATCGATGGTGACTGTCATAGTCGTTTACACCCATGACATCTTCCGTGAAGCGGGCACGTCGATGGCGCCAGAAGACTGCAGCATAGTCATCGGAGTCGTGCAAGTGGCCGTGGTAGCGATGGCCACATTCCTCACGGATCGCGTCGGTCGTAAAATTCTTCTTATAGTCTCTACTTTCGGGACGAGCATGAGCTTGTTCCTGTTCGGGTACTCGTTCTACCTGAAGCAGCACAGCCCAGACGCATTCGCCACCTCATATACTTGGCTTCCGATCGTGTCCATGGGCCTCTTGTTCGTTGCATTCAACATCGGTATGTCCCACCTTCCCTGGGTGCTTCTCGGCGAGATGCTGCCGCTGCGTGTTCGAGGATTTGCCACGGGATTCTGCACGTCGTTCGGCTTCGGCTACTCATTCCTCCTCATCAAGGAGTTTTTCAGAATGCAGCTTCTGATGGGAGCTGCAGCTACCTATTGGCTGTTCGGTGCTTTGCTACTAGTGGGTTGCATCTTGTTCTGGAGTTTTATTCCAGAAACAAAACAAAAGACGTTAGAAGAAATTGAGAGGCTCTTCGGAAAACGAGTGGGAGACTTCACTAGTGATGCGGCGACAAGCTAAAGTAATAGTGTGAACTAGTCCTGACTCTTTTTTTTCACCTTTTAGTGGCATCTTAGCGCACATTTACACCCGTGATGGCTCCAAACCCGGACGTTGGACGCCCTCAATGTATCTACAGAGCTATTTGTAACAATACGCACAGTATTATTTAACGACTTTATAATATGAAGTTTGGAAAGGCAAGGGCCGGCAGTACCTCAAGTGTGAGAAGTTGTTTCATAGAAATACGCAAATCATAAGAAACAATTAAAAAGTATCTTGGGTACCATATCAGCTGTGGTATGCGAACGAAAAGGCAGTAAATTGGTATAGATCAATCATACGCCTACTAGTTGTAACATATCATAAAGTTCCGGGGATATTGTAATGTTACGTATACAATTACGTTCGCCATACCAAATCGTTAAAGAGAGGTCGACAGTTTATTTCTTATGCATTTCACGAAAACATTTTGTCTTTGTTCTCTTCTCCTGAACTGCACTTAGATCTCACTCCATATATGCTTTTTTCGTGTGTATTATCTCATCAAATAACCTCAATGACTTCTTTTCTTCAAATTGTATGTCTGGCTGTGACATCCTCATCGATAAACCATGCCAATGAGTGATAAATATATTTGATGTACGTGTCAGGACACGACTGCGTGGTAATTCTGCATTCTGCAAAACTACTCAGGAACCACATTGCTGCCTGTAGTTAGAACGAGACTGTATTTGAACTCCTAGCTGAAAATAATCTTTTCGGTGCCAGACCCAAATATCCTGTGTTTACTTAATTAGCGTCCTTCGTTATTTCACGTTGTATTTACACACTTCCGTGTGCCAATAAAATCCCCCTCCCCCTAGGTAGTCGCCCCGTCGCGGTGGTCTAGTGGCTAAGGTACTCGGCTGCTGACCCGCAGGGCGCGGGTTCGAATCCCGGCTGCGGCGGCTGCATTTCCGACGGAGGCGGAAATGTTGTAGGCCCGTGTGCTCAGATTTTGGGTGCATGTTAAAGAACCCCGGGTGGTCTAAATTTCCGGAGCCCTCCACTACGGCGTCTCTCATAATCATATAGTGGTTTTGGGACGTTAAACCCCACATATCAATCAATAATCCCCCTAGGTAGTCAGCAGCCTGTCCTGCTTCCGTTGCCCACCCCCCTTTATATTTTTATGCTGTACTCGTGGCAGATGTTGTACCCGAGACAAGTGGGTAACTGTGGTACGTCGCCGGAGCTGATTCCGAAGGTCATGGTGTAACTTGGGCATATGCAGCTGTTCAGAGCGGACTCATTCACGTTATAGAAAATACCTAAGCAATTGCAATTACAACCATTTTCTTTAAAATACAGTTGGTAGCAATGGTCGATTACGGCCATAGCAAACTAACTGGGTCATTACAGAAATGTAATCAATTACTATAGTGTCAACCCTCTACAAATTTTCCTTCTGTAACACAATAACCAAATTTACTCAAACTCAACTTCTCTATGTTGCGCGGTAAAAAGAAGACTGAAGGCTTGCGTAAAGAATCGTAGTCTGACGGTCACTTCATTGATGTAGTGTTAGGTGTTCATAACTTTCAACAGCGGTGGTTTTTCAAAGTTGTCGTCGCTGATTATTCCACGTTTTCTCGTTAAGAGGTACGCTGCTACGGTGAACATTGTCTCAGTACATGCGCAGGATTGGGAAGGCTGGTATCACAACGTAGGAGCAAATTTCAAACTATCTCGTAGCTGAGCAGTGCTTCATTCCTGCAGTCCATGTCCTGTATGAAGGGTCGTGATTCGCTGATGCTGGCACTTGAGTAAGGCGTGGCAGATACGGCAAAAGAAAGGCTGACAAAGTAGGCTCCGTGCGCACAACAAGTCTTAAAGAAAGGAGTGTCCCTGTAGAGCCATCTTATACCTTTAGGGACAAGAACTGCCATGAAAAATTGGTCACAACGGGATTCCGGGAAAAAAAGTGACTGATTATTGGTAATCAGTTACAAAGCAACGTAATTGAATTGCGCAAGAGGGTTTAAACTTGGGCTCATCGGTGGTTCATCTTGATGGAGGCAGATGCGCACAATAGGCATGGACACAACAAGGAACACAGATAGACAGACGAAGGACTTCGTTGGTCTATCTGTGTTCATTGTTGCGCCCCTGTCTTTTGAGTGCATCAGTCCTCATAGAGACAAATTACGCAGAGCACTACAGTTTCGAAATAGTAATCACTTACACTACGAAATTACACGAAAGTGTGATTCATTACTCGTAAGGCCTTACATTCATATCTGGTTCAGACAAATGTGAAAGCTGATCCTCTTCATCACACTGGCTCCACAGTACGCAAGCAGCACTCAGTTAAGTGTAAAAAAGAAGTCTATATAGCTGAGAAGTTAACATAAATTATTGTGGCTTTATAAACGCTGACACGTACCCTAAACTGCTCCCCGTTGGGGAACCTAGCGGAAGGAGTTGCACACAGTGGGGATATTAAGGTTGTTATTTTTTTTTCGCTCTATCGCCCTATATTCTACTCGGCGTAGTGACTGGGTGGCCATCACAGCAGTAACGCGGTAAGATGATGGATTATTTTAGCGAACACGCACTGAGTATTTCACAGAACCGCACCGGGGAAGCACTATCATTTTTTCTGCGATGTCCTGTCTCGTCTGCAGTGCGTGTTCTTCGGAATAATGGATGCATCATGTCACTACCAGCCAGCCCAGCTATACTCATGAACAACATCACCCAATTACCCCTGTCTTCTGACAGCCCTCCCAATTTTCCATCCATACATCTTTCACCTTTGTACCTAGTTCAGGGTAGTAAACCAGAATTCTTTCTTCTGGTTGACCTATCGGCCTTTCACTTAACCTTCATCTGTCTCTCTGTTTTTTGCGGCCAGAAAGTGCTCTTTGGTGAGATACGCGTACATTTGGCGTCAAAACTTTAGAAACTGCTAAATCAGAGAAAACGTTTGATTTCTCATCTATTTGCGAGTGCATTCGGTCCTACTGTACAGAGCGTTTCGTTCGTGCGTTTTAGAACAGGCCAGAAATCCAGCTTCAGGCTTTTTCGCTGAAGCAGCGTGACTGTTCAGCTTTCTCGCAAGTCTCGTGGTCCCTAGACTTGTGGCTATGAATGCACATAACCTTATTAAACCACGTGTCTCCTGTTTTCATTGCGATTCTGTTGGAGGAGTATTCTCTCAGCAAGCTTCAAATTAGGCTCACCATTTGACCGTCCGTAACGCGGGTTTGAGGCTTAACACTCTTACTCTATGAACAGCTGAAAGTGCTAAGCGCCTGCTTTACTGTGGACTCTGTGTGTCTGCTGTGTACGCCTTCGGGGGCCGCAACCACACGAAAGGAAAAAAAAAAAGCTTAGCGCTGTCGAGATCTGAGAATAAACAGACTAAGCTACCAGTTGTAGACAAGTACGACAAGCCACTTTTCGGTTTTTGCCAAAGACCCACAGTACTTTACTTAACAACAAAAAAATGTCGTGTGGCAACCCGTTCCGTGGGACAATTTGTGGAATGATAATGCGACAGCTCAAACGCTGAAATGTGTAGGTCGACTTGTTGGTACGGCATCATTACCATCGGCTTTTTAGAAAGAGTTCATGATTGGTCACTAATATCTGGAGAACGTACAATAGTATGAATATATGTGTTATTCATTGACAAGGCGGCCTACTAATGAAATGAATGTTTGCCCGAGAATAAGGACGGGCTGGAGCACTTGCGTACGCCGTTCCCAAATCATCACAGATAATTTATTGCATCATCAGAAGGGCGAACTGTTCAACCTTTTGAATAATTCCAGTACTAACAGACACGGCAAAACCTTTGAGAAATTTGAGGTTAAAAACTACGCATGAGCGATGGAACTAAAATTGATATGCGTAACATTAGAACATAGGAAGACAGCAGAGTGGATTAGGGAACACCACAGACCCATCACTTTTAGCGAGGCAATGGATATCGAGAGTTTGGAAACATGCCTCTTCCCCTGAATTGTTCAATCTAAAAGCTACCACGAGTGCTGGCGTCCGTTCCTGAACATTAAGTATCAGACTTTCAATAAGCTGACAACACTTCACTTCCACTTCCGTCAGAAAAAAATCTAGTATACGCCCTTGGGTTTTAAAAAAGGGGGGGGGCGACGTTCACAGGATCAAAATAAAACAATCTCCCACGAGGTACGGTAAGTTGGAGATAGCTGAAACTGCAAATATGTCTTCACCCTCAAACGAGCGCGAAATAGGCTGAAAATTTTTACGTTGCTCCCGCCCAGCGGAAACTGAAGATTGCGCTCGCAAGGTGCGCAGTGAAATTGAGTTTGTACCATACAGGCCAGTCCCAGAAGGAACAGGTATTGTAATACAAAAAAAGGAGTTTTCAAGGCTCTGCGCCGTTCATGAACATATCACTTGACTCCCGATGATGAGAGCCCTCAGCGCACACAAGGGAAGACGCAAAAGATTAAAGATGTTTTTTGTTTTTTTTTTAATTTTCATGAAACTTCCATTGCTTTCACAAGAGTCGTTTTAGTAGGAGCAAACTAAGCGGTTAATAGCTATATGAAAACAGTGTCATGAAAGGGGGCTGTTTTGGTCGACGCGACCACAGCGCAGGCACACCTTGTTGTGTACACAGTTGAGCCGATCAGGTGGCCTTACTCAAACTATCTGGGAGCACTTAGAATAGCGTCTGATTCTTTTGTTGTAGAGAGACAACATTAAGGCAAAGGTTGCTTGAAGCCATGCGTCAGCTGCCGCGCAATAAAAAAGGAAGAAAAACGAATAGCCACATAGGTGCAAGCTTCTATAGGAAGTGTGCCACTTACATGAACTGTTATGTTTGAACAATCGGGTTCATGATGTTTATACGAGTTGATGGAATTTAAATGAAATGGTGACAAGTAGTCACTTAGCATGTGCGTCGCAGCATGTAGCCCCCTACCTATCGCAGCTTGCTCTCAAAATGAAAAAAAAGAATGTGTTTTAATCTTTTCGGCAAATACTGACTGGCCACGTATACAACTCGCTTCAAATACACATGTTGGCTATCCAGTGGGTCCCACGACTGTCCGACGGATGTACATTAATTTGCAAAATTAATTCACGTGTGTGTTTGCGCGCGCGCGCGCGCGCGTGTGTGTGTGTGTGTGTGTGTGTGTGTGTTTGTGTTTGTTTGGTTGTTTGTTTGTTTGTTTGTTTGTTTGTTTGTTTGTTTGTTTGTTTGTTTGTTTGTTTGTTTGTTTGTTTGTTTGTTTGTTTGTTTGTTTGTTTGTTTGTTTGTTTAGAGAGAGTCGCATATGTGGTGAGTCAGAACTGTCGAAACTGACGGGTGTCAAAACACTTTTTTTTTTCAGAGAGCATCGCATTCTAGCTATTTGTCTTACTTTCATAAATGCTTATGCATATGTGTGCTCACGTTGGGGGGGGGGGGGGGGGGAGGAGCGAAGCACCCCTTCTTAGTCATTTCAGAGCGGACCGCAAGGCCATCCCCACGACATAATAAGGAAGGGGGGGGGGGGGGGCTGCGTATCGGAGGAGAGGGCAGTAAGTTAGCCTCATAGGTTGCCACATTAGGGAGGGGGCGCTGCTATAAATTTCTGACCCTCCCCCAACTAAAGGGAACCTTGCGCGCGTTTATGTGATTTTGTACTTACGGTGCACTGTTATTTACTGCAGTAACGATTCCTGCTCGATCAATCTGATCCCTAATTTCATTTTCTTCCCCTTTACAAGATACATTCCCATCCGATATCAACCGCTGACTTGGTTTAATGCTTCCATCTAATTAGAAACGCAGAGCCTCTGAAATATTGACGCATTTCGCGGATTGTGCTAGGAA